GCTCTCTGAGCGCAACACCAGGGATGAAGAGGAGGTGGAGGACGATGAGGAGGGTTTCAGCGACCCCAGCTCACCTCCCGTCAGGCCGCAGAGTCTGAGGACTAACCCCAACGTGGCCGTGTCCCTCAGCTGTGACGCCACCCCGCTGTCCCCAGAGGATGAGGAGGATGGGGGCTTTTATTTTGAAGGGTACGACGAAGACCTGAGGGGCGTTTTGGAGGCGGGTCGCCGGCAGAGCGCTCCGGACACGCTGCCGGACCTGAACCAGGACAGCTCGGACCCCAAGCAGATGCCAAAGAGGTTCGGCATCGCAGATTTCTTCACCAGGTAAAATGATCACGTGGTCTGCGGGGCAATAAAGAGTGCACGTGCTAACTCCCAAGGACCCCCTCCCTCCTCATATGGTCTTAAGGCTTTAGTCTTACTACTGTATTAAAATATAAGTAAACAACATGAAGACAACTGAACATGATAAAATACAAGGTTTTAATTGTCAGTCAATCCAGGCTCAATTATTTTAGTAAAGAAGGTCATAATTTAAAGATTAAAATAGAAAAAAATAAAGATTTAAAAGCTGATTGGACTTTAGTTAGATTAAAATACATTTTACATATAGGAAATACCTTCTTTTATTCACTTATCTGTCCTAAGATTCATGGAAATAAACAACATAAGGCTGAAAAATATAAACCACACTTTTATTAATTTGTGCTTCCAAATGCAGCTTTTAGGAAATAAAGCTCATAATGTACAGATTTAAATGCTCGGTGATGACGATGCATCCTTGCATCCAGCAGCTGTCTCCACCTACTCTTCTCGCTCCACCTTTCCACATTAAAGGTCACTTATTGTATTAAACAGACGACCTCTCAGAGCTGCTGTCTGGGGCCTGTAACACTGTAAAATCCTGCACGTTGATCTCAGTCCTGTATGTGTGACACAGCAGGCATCAGCAAGCATCGACTCAGCGCTGCCTCTGTCCCCGGGGCTTCACCGCTCCCTTTGCTCTTTTCCCGGAGCATTAGAGGCGATTGATCACGCCGTGTAACCACCGTGCAGCTGCCCAGATGCTGTGACTGTGTGCTGATCAGAGATTACATGCTCTCAGTTCCTGAAAAGCTGATTTTTTTTAGACGTGTCACATCGACTTTGAATAAACCCCACACGCACAGGTGGTTGAACTAAAAGGCTTTGAAACACAGTCTGGGCTCTTTAGATGGAGCTTTTTAGCCTCTGTGCTAGAATTAAGGCAACAGAGCAGCAACACAGGAACACGTTTCCCCTTTTTAACCAAAGAAGTGAGTCACGCTGAAGCAAAAGAGAAGGTGAATAAATGAAG